TTAATATTTCTCTTAAAATTTAGTATCTATCCAAAGTGGGATTCTATCATTTTATAGTGGCTTATTGTTTAAAATATACCTAATTCAAAGTGCAATTGTATCGCTTTATAGTTGGTAATTTAAATTTTACAGTGTAGGAGAGGGTTTGGCCCCTGGGAGGATTCGGCCATCAGTGATTTAATTTTTCTATTTCAAATTTCCTGCGAAACGTCATGATTTTTAACGCACACAAGCTTGTTTTTAATTTTGAGCCACATAGACAGCGTCTAACAAGTGTTTGTTTGTGCATTTTTGAATGTTTTTAGAGAAAATAAGGTGAGTTTTGCAATTTTTACAAATTTATGACTCTTGTGAATAGTCAATTTGTAAAAATATTTCACTTTGTGCTCGTATTTAGTGGCATATTTGGAACTACGTTTCATAAATAACCAAATCGTAAATATAAATAGTAACTGGCCCACGTGCCATGTTTGTGAATTTGGACTAAAGGTGATGCTTCGGCCACTAGGCAGGTGGAGGTTTCGGCCACGGCCGAAATCATTCCCATATCTAGTATGGGTATTATTTAAACAATTTTTTGTTACATTTTATAGACCTTCAAAGTATAAATGCAAAACTGACAGAGAAGTTGATAAACTGACGGTAAAAAATGCAATACGCTCCTATTTTTCAAGAGAATGTTTTATATGCAGAAATTATTTTTCTTCATCAGCGACTAGATCTGAATAGATCCCGTTGTACCATCGTTGGTTCTAGGGAAGAAACAAAAACGGCACCGCGGAAGCCACGTTCGAGGTGTAGTTGCTCCGTCCTAGTTGAGATAGGAAACCGATGTTCAGTTCTAAAAGTTCAAAGTCGCTCAACAAGCGTACTCATGGTTAGAGAGAGACTAGGTTTGCAGAACCACAAAAAGCTGTAACTACACGAACTCAATCACTGTTTCGATTCAATTATAATTTCCAAGCAATGGATGTTCGTTAAAGCTTATATATTTTTTCACAATACTTTTGTTTCAATGTATACTTAACGAGAAAAACTTTTCAAATGGTTTCTATGTAACTTAGGACTTTATTAAGTTTTAGTCTCACTCCCCTTGAAATTTACATCATGGATGCTGTTGTGGTGACAATGACACAACTCCGCGCGGTTAGAATTGAAACTGCCATAAGATCCGATGAAGAAAGATGTCGTTGTTTGCGGGAGACGCTCGACACGCTTCCAGTGCTTCAACAGATCATGGACTCCATTTCACCAAGATATATCTTTCATAATGAAACATTTGGAAGAGCCGTAAGTGCAGGTGCGATTCATAACTACGCCGACAAGTATCCATCAACAATGTGGTCACCTTACGATGGATTAAGGTCCATATCACATTAAATGGTAACCATCTTGTCGATTCAATAGCCGAGAAGGGCGAGAAGGCAACCAACCAAATACTTTTTGGACATGAGCCTTCCATTGTACTAACAGCATCAGTCGTGATAAATCTATTTAAAGAACATTTCTTTATGGAATTCAAGAAAAAGTGGGATGAAACAAGAAGCTGTATAGTAACTAAGGAGCTCTTAAGTTACCCTGATAATACAAACAAATGCTTTATGACTACACAATCTGCGTCTGATCATAGGCATTCTGACTGGTAATTGTTAAACTCTCTAAAGCACCTCTACAGTCTCCAGAGATTGTGAACAAAAAGATGAGACTATTGAGCATATTACTACTATGACAGCCCGATGCTCCTCATCTATTAGATTTGTATTCGACGAATATTTGCCAACACCGGCCGACAAAAGAGAGGCACCTTTTGGCCATGTTGTTAACTATATTAAATATGTAGGCTGGTTGACGAGCTAATAAAGGCATCATCGATTCAGGGGGTTACACAATAGGCCTAATGATATCCAAGTGATGGAGCAATTACTCTCCAGCTTACATATTCAAATACCAATAAATTATAATTTATATTTGAAAATAAAAAAAAAATCAATTATTATATCTTTGGCTTCGTCTTATATTGTTGAGCAGTAAAGAAACTTACTTTTATAAGCTTCATATTATGGTTAACTACCCAAATATATATTCCCACACATTCCTGACATTCTACATTCATATTTTAAGCAAATATGGATAAATTACGTAGTATGTATTTTTAAAAAAATCTTGGAAGTATGGCTTCAGATTATACAAAACGTTGTTGATTTAAAGACACAAACATTAAAATAATATATGTTGAGAGAATCTAAATTAGTGTTTTATTTTATAAATTTTTAGATACAACTTACATTTATTTTGATGGCTACAGGCATGGGCGTCATTACACAATTCTATAGGGGGGGGGGCAAAATTTTGAAAAAATTTAGTATGTTTATTTAATGGCAAACAAAGAAATTGAAACATAAAAGAGAATTTTCCTATGATAGATTTAATTATTCTGTGACGTCATGGCTTACTTCCGGTTTTTCCAGAAATAACAGAAAATCCCAATTTAATTTTTATTATTAAATGAAAACCCTTTTTCTTATTGAAAATTTGAATTTCTGGGACATTTTTGTATAAGAAGCGTGTATTGAAAATTTTCTCAGTAATATATTAAAAAATATATGTTCCAATATGATGATCATTTTGACAGCTGACAAAAAATTTTCAACACATGATTCTTATCCATAAATGTCCCTAAAATTCAAATGTTCAATAAAAACAGGGGTTTCTATTTAAAAATTAAAAATAAATTAAGATTTTGTTATTTCCGATAAAACAGAAGTAAGCCATGAAGTCACACACCAATTGAATCCAGTATATGAGAGTATTTGTCCCAAGCTTTTAAACAAATAAGTTTTCATTCCAATATCTCAATTAACAACGAAGATAAAAGCGGATAGAATTATTAAACGGTATGCTAATAATAAAAATGCTTAGATACGCCACTGGTATACGGTAAATTGGTCTCAATGGGAATTTTGAAGCCTAAAAAGATTTTATGAAGTTTGTACATTCCTATATGTTTTTCCATAAACAAATTAATAGTAACATATTTAGAAAAAATATTATCCAATATGGCGGCCATTTTGACAGTTGACAAAAAATTGTCAATACACGATTATTATACAAAAATGTCCCAGAAATTTAAATTTACAATAAAAAAGAGGGTTTCCTTTTAAAAATAAAAAAAATTTGTTATTTTCGGAAAAATCGGAAGTAAGCCATGACGTCACAGAACAATTGAATCCATTACAAGAAAGTCTTTCAAACAGAACAAAATTAATCCGATATCTCACTGAATAGCGAAGCTAAGGGGGAGTGGAACTGTAGTAGTAACCCTAACAATGTCACTGACCTATTTGACAGAACTGCTACTTAAGTTGTCATAACAAGTCTCTAATAAATAAAATAACCCAACAAAAAAGACCAAATAAAAGTATATAGATTTATAAAACAAGTGAAAAAATTATTAATATTAATATTATTATTATATATTTTTATTACTTCAGCTAAAAAAAAGTAGTATAATCAATACAAATCAATAATAAAAAAACATAGGTAGGTATTTACGAGAAAATGTATGAGATCTTGCATAAGCCTAATAAAATGTCATTGAAGAATAGGTTAAATAATGTCAAAATAAAAACACTACTATTATATAATAATATAGAATTAAAAAGTATTAACAAAAATAATTGGTATATTTGCGATTGTAATTTATATTTTCTTCATTTTTAGTTCGAAAGAACCCATAGAAATTAATGATTAAAACTGGTTTCCTATCAATAAGTCACAAGATTGCATTTCAGCCATATACAATAATTAAAGGCAGAAATCTAATCATTTGCTAAACATTTAAGACTTAAGGGATGTTGAAGAATATCATAAAATAATAATTTATTGTTTATTTAAAACCTTTTCTGATGTCTATTATTTCCAGTATTACTGATATTATTACAAAAATAACGGTTTTTTTCTTCTTATTATACAGCTGTCTATTTATTTTTTTTGATTTAATTTCTATTTTGCTACTGAAAATTTATATAATACTCAGTTTTTTTGCTAGTATAATTTGTAACATAGCAACTCAGGTTGCTCATTTTATTGTTTTTAACCTATTTTTTAGTAAAAATTAAAATATATACGTGTATTTGATACGCCAAAATTACAAAATATCGCCCTAAAGTACTCGAATTATCCGCAGCTTGCGCTAGTATCGCTTTTGCTTTCCCTACCATGACTTCGCACTGTTCGAATATATTGCAGCCATGTTTTAACATGCCTTAGCTAAACGTTCTTTCGATTAACTCTGTCGTTGGTGGAAGAGCCATAAATATTTTTTAAACCACTTTGTAAGTCTGGATAAAATTCACAATGTTTGGATGCTATATCATTAATGGAGAGCTCATTGTGTGTAGAAAGCTCTTTCGTACTCCAGTTTGGTATTCAGCTTCAAAATTGTCGATTCCAAATTTTTCCACTACTTTCATTTTCTAATTGGTAGTGAAAAAAGTATTGTTTTTATGCTTTCGGGATGTAACAGGCTTAAGGACAAACAGAGTCTTCGGAAAAGCGTGATGTAAGCGGAATCCAGATATGCAATAAATATATTCAACCTATAATATTCTTCAACTATATTAGCATGAATATTATTATTTCTGTATGAGATTGTTGTTCGTAAGGCATATCTTATTAATTAAGTCGCTAAAAGCCAGGGGGGGCAACTGCCCCCCCTTGCCCCCCTCAAACGACGCCCATGGCTACATGGTGGTTCTTAAGTAATGGGACACGATTTAGTGCAAATTACCTTCAACAGTGACAAATTGAATTTGAACTTAACCTTTGAAAATACCCAAACGAAATTGTCGAAACGGAATTGTTTGTTACACCTTACTTACTTACTAATATTATCTATTTACCACTTAACTATTAAGATTTGTTAAGTACCAATGCTTCCGGTTATTATTTTTTTATGGTCTAGTTTTAACTGATTATTATAAAATAGCAGAAATACTTACTTGTTGAGACAGCTTGTTCATATCGATGGGCGTAATTCGTTTGAGGGCAGAGAGCCTTTCCAGGCGTTCTCTGGCTTGTTGCTCCACGGCGATAACGAAGGCATCTTGAACATTGTTCGAACACAAGTCTAAGTCCACAGCTAAAACAAAAGATACCAATATGAATTCAGATTATTTATTATAGAATATTATGCATGTTATACATTTCGTGGTCCAAAATTTTTATTACCATAAGGTTTGTTCCAACACAATAGCAAATTGGTTTACGTACTGTCGAGATTCTGCGCAGTCTAGATTTCATGTTCCAACACACCTCGGACTCAAAACTGTACAGAAACCTAGTGTTCTAACATACTCAAACCTAATCACAAACCAGTTTCTGTACTGTCAAATCAGTTCCTGGGTCTGAATAGGAACGAATGTCAAGACATGCGCAAAACGAAAGTTAGCTCGTAAATAAATCACGACCAACTCTGGAAATGTCGTGATTATATTTGTTTTGATAGCATCATCGATCGTAGTCTCGATCGTAATTTAGTTTTTATTCATTATCATTATTTATAGTATATTATTTTATGAGTAATGAGTGTAAAAAGTGAAAAGAACTATTATTCTGACTTAGATACAGTAAAAAATAAAATAAGTTAATGTACTAACCAATCGAATAATCAAAATTTATTAATCTTTTAATGAGTTTTAATTTTTTTTATTTATCAAATTCAAAATTTAATATCTGTTAATGTTTTTTCTACTTTTACGTTTTTGATGGTGTGTCTGACAACAGAAACATGTGTTCCAACACAACCAAGTTCCGAATTCAGTCTCAATCATCGACAGGTCGTGGACTGGTCGTCGACTATCAGTCGTCGACAATAAGTTGTGGACTGGTTTGTGTATGGTTCCAAGATTGTTGTTGGAACAAACCTATAGACGTACATTTCACATCGTAAAAATATTTAATTAAAATGAAAAGTAACAAGTAATTTTCGTTATAGTGATACACAATTAACTATTACAAATGATCTTAAAAACTCAAAATTAGTGTGTGTAAACAAATTTTCAAGCAGACAAAAATGTGAGCCTATTAATTTAATATAGTACTTTTGTTATATTAACATCAAGGACACCATTTCAGTGTTTTGTACGTGATCAAAACAGAGGTTTACAATTATTTACAGATCTTATCTTTCACTGGATGGATTTTAGTGAAACTTTGGCAGCCTATAGGAAAATGTTTAGTGATTGCAATGAGACATTTTCATTTGTCGTGCTAATTATTAAATACTATTAAAAAATTTAAAAAAGTGATAGTCACAGATGCAGTTCAAAAAACTTTAGAACATTCTACATATTTTTTTGAGTATTCTTGCCAAATTTTAATAATCATTGTTGCGTACTTTTTAAACTGTGCACATATTACGATTTCATGTAAAATTGAAAATTTTGCTTCGTCCATATTGAATTTTAGTTCAGGTCCTAAGTTATAGGTGTCCGATGGAGCAACAGTAGCGAAAGTTTCGACGCCGTGTTGCCATATCTTAAAATTGTCTTGAATTTAGAGGTAAACATATTATCATGTATATTTGAATTTACAGAAATATAAATTATATATATAGGCAGACTAATTTTTTACCGTTTTCTTATTAAGATTAATTTTTAATATTTGGTGCTTTGTCTAAAATTAAATACTAAATTAAATAAAATTTATAATAAATGCCTTTATAGTAGGGAAATCAAAAATGCACTCAGGAGTAAAGTGCCCTTATTTACACTTTCCTAATTAAATATTCATATAAAGTCCAAAAATACTCATTTAAAACGCGTATGAAAAGATTTGTGAAAAAATTGGTTAGGGATGTAATTTTTTATTTAGGCTGAGTTTTTTCTGTAAATAAAGTGTGAATTCGACAAAATGGGCATCGGTTAGTTATGCATTCGATATGTGCCCAGCAAACACAAACATATAACATATATGTATCATTTACATATCGTGTTACATAACAAAGTAACTTACATGTTAACTAATAACTCACATGATTAGTGTAAAAATTACCTTATTTTGTTATATAGCAGGTTTTTCATAGATGATTTAATGGGTTAAGTACTTGTAAGGAACAATGTTATATATCGATGTTTTTAAAACGTTCTTATGAGAAATGATTACAGAAACGTTTCTTTCTCAGATAACAATTGTACATTCTTAGCATATTCTTAGTATATTCTTTATAAGAATATGCATATACCTACTAAGAATATATACTTTATTTGCATTTAGTACATTCTCAGAATATACTATGTATATGTTACGGGACGTCGTTTATACGTGCTATGCAGATACTGAGAATGTACTTCAAGTATATGTACAATATGCAATAAGTATCCAATTTCATTTGATAGTACGTTCTAAGTATATGCTAAGTATTTAATTTAGCATATACTAGGCATATCGCTGTCCCAGTTCAAAAGTGTAAATCTCCAAATCAAGAGATAAATTACTTTAAAGATTTTTCTTTACTAATTTGTAAGATTTTTCTTTACTAATTTGTAAGATCTTTCTTTACTAATTTGTTAAATTTTTCTTTACTAATTTGTAAGATTTTTCTTCACTAATTTGTAATTTATTATTAAAATAAATAGAAACATAAATATTTTGAGATATTATAGTGTTGAATTATTGTAATAGACCTTGGCCTTCTTGCTAAGAATACATTCTTATCTCAAACCCTAAAATTTTTGAGATGTTACTTTTTTGAATTGGGACAGCGATACACTACACCCTAATACAGGATGTTTTATTAATATTGAACATTAAAGAATAAGTATATATAATGAAAATCGTAAACATTTTTTAAATCTTTATTTCCAAAAATTAATACTTATTCTTATTACAAATTCTTTAATAGTTTATTGTATCGATGGCTTGCTTGCGTTACATTTGCTTGCTTACATTGGATCTTTATTGAACCTAAAACAAAACAACAAACTTGATACACATACAAATTAAGTGTACATAACAAATGGAATATTTTAAATATTTTTGTCGAACGTAAAACATTAAAAATTGTAAATCCATAAATAAAAACAAGAGTTGCAAACATAATTATTATGTTTAGTAAAAATTTAAATATATTTTTTGTTAATTACCACCGTTTTGTAGTTTTTGTCCTCCTTTAGCTAATTTTATAGTTCTTTCAGGTCAATTTCTTGCCTTACAAGATTTTTTTCGTAGAAAGTGTGTATGTAATTCTGGTAACACTGTATTTTAGTTTCAATTCGCCATTAGTATTAACCATATTAATAAATTCACTCTGGAAATTAATATTTGGAATAACCTGTGTACTAACATCACTTTTAGATCATAAAAACTAAAAAACTACAGTAAAATTTGTATATTTTTATATAAAACACACGATGCAATTGATTTTTATTAATTTATTTACCTATTCGAAGCGATCAAGCGTGATCAAAAAATTTGAGGTCATGTTATTCTCTTCTATCAAGTTTGTGAATGTTTTTTGGACTGAAAAATTCATATAGATATGTATATCAACGTGTTTTTACATGTATTTGGCGTTAATTTTTACCTGTAAGCATTTAGAACGTTCTCAGAATATGAGCTACATACTGGGTATATGACTTTTAGAATCTTCTAAGAATGTCCTGTAATAGCACGTGCTTGAGGCGCTTACTCAGTATATCCTTTCTAGAATATACTTTCAAAGTATATACTAGGTATATTCTAAGAACATTCTAGAAAGGACATACCAAAAAGAACATAAACAGAATAATAAAAAAGTTTTCCATATGGTTCCAACTTAAGTAGATACTGTATGACAAATACAAAAAAATGTCGAAAATATGTTTTACAATACAGAAGAATAAAGAGTAAAGTTATATTCAAATAAATATGCAATTACAGCAATTTAACATTAAAATTTAGGTCTGGTGATATTTAATTTATAACTATAATTAATGTATAATGTAAAACGTAAATAATCACTTAACCTAAATTTGCATGCTAAAGAACTCTAACTGCATATAACCTTTAATTCAAAATAACTTTACTTCATAACATTTTTTTGTAGGTACTTTACTCCTGAGTAAAATTTATATTTTATGACAAACCTGGTATACGGCCTAAAAAAATTGATATCTGATGGTTGCATTTTAAGTTTTGGACCACAAAACCAATAATAAAAAAGTTTTCCATATTTAAATGTATTTGTTAGATATATCAATAATTTTATTACACAAATTGATAACCGAAACCAAAAATGTATTATTTCAACCATTATTTGGATATTGGGGTAAATATACCCACCCATTTATAATATATTATGCAGGGTCAGTGCCACTAACAGATTCTTACTATAAGTATTTAGGGGGCGTCCATTAATGACGTGAGGTGTTCAAGGGGGGGGAGGGGATCAAACTAAATCTTTCTAAATCTCACTTGGAGGGGAGGGGGGGTTTTCGTAAATCTCACGTAATTTTTTTTCTAGTAGAAAACGGTGTAAAATTGCGTGAAAGTAAAGTTAAATTATAGTAAAAGTATTTCTAGAATAAAATATGGAAAAATCTTATAATTATGTTTATTTACAACCATATATGTAATGCTGTCATTACTAACGTCATTGAAGGTTGGGAAGTGTCACATTACACACCTCTACTTCCCATATTGTGTTTTTGTTGTTTTTTTAATAATCCAACACATTTACACCCAAAACACGAATTTTGAAAAATCTCACGTGAGATTAGGGAAGGGGGGGAGGTAGTTAAGGAAAATCTTACCAAATCTCGCCAGGGGGGAGGGGGAGTCAAAAAATCCTCAAAAATACCTCACGTAATTAATGGACGCCCCCTTATCCCAAGTAGGTATCTGCGACCCTAGTTAATACAGCTAAATATTTATTTCCCCATAAACGAGAAAAACCTTGTTATAGAAGTGGTAGATTGCCTAACAATATATTTCTACAAATACGCGGTGTTGACAGTTCTTTTCTACCAGACCAACTTAACTGAGAACATAAAATAAAAGTACGGTTGTGTATATTATTTTGCCGAACGACTTTTGCGATATAATTGACAAAAAATGGAGGTTAAGAGTGTAGCTACATCCATGTAGGAAAGGATTAACTAA